TTCTCCACCTAACCACCACACGTCTCACTCACCCGCGTGATACACGAAAAAGGGCCAGCGCTCGATTTGGCTTTGGCGTGGCTTTTGGTCTTATCATCCGACCTTGTAGGCGGCGTGGCAATCGTCTTTAAAAAATTTCCCGTGGCCTCGAAGCGCCAAGCATGAAGAACGAGACAGGCCCAACAACGGACGAGCCTTAATCGCGCAGCACTACGCCAAAACTCGCAAGTCTCAGCGCGACTCAACTTCATTTAACGTCAGTTATACCATGACTTCATACGCACGACAAGATCGGATGGCATGCAATCACGACTTCTACCGCGACGAAGCATTGACTCGCGATACGCAAAGCCCATAGACGGATCAAGGTATAATGAAGGAAGGAGCAGCAACTCCCCGAGCATGGCCGTAAAGCCCAATGCAATCATTGCAAGACGCTGCGTGCCGTGCCGCCAACAAGACAACAGCGGGGACCCAAGTCGGCGATGCCGACTTGCCAACGTCCTGCGGTGTGACGCCGGGTTCTCGTAAGCCCGTATGATGATGGTGGCGTGCCTATGCAATCGAGGCAACGTTGAATGGCAAGGTAGTCAACATCATCCAAGAAACTATACTACAAGCACATGTCATCTACAAGCATTCTCTTCTACTACTAGTATGTTTAAGTCAACACACCTTATCAAATGCTTCAAAGATACACCAAAGCTATTATTATTAACTAACCTTGTATTAAGGGGGATTATTTTATTTCCTTTTTAATTAGGGCTACAACAGCAATCTATATTTCTGGTGCTTATAAAATCTGCGAAAATTAGAGTAGCATGGTACTACTCTAATTAGACGGATTTTCATGGTGTTTGAATGAGTGGATTAGCGACACAAAAATAACAAGCTATGGCATGATTTTGTACATGCGAATACTTTGAACTGTGAAAAGTGTCAAACAACAGAATTAATATTTTTCAAGCTTCATAGCATATAATGACTGTACAAAAATCGATGGCGGCAAAAATAACAAAACAGCGGCAATGCATCACTGGCGACACAAAGCGAAAAATAACAAAAAAATTCCATTAAAACTTGAACTACCCTCAAAATTTTCCCACAAAGCACATGCATGAAACATATTTTTCCTAAGCAAAGATTAACAAACTTAGAATCATATTTTTCGAAGCTAAACCAATCAGCAATATTCATGATTAAATAAAATCAGAGGACGGCAATGATTTTCCCAAGTATCTGATGATAAGGAACCTAGCATTGGTTTAAACCATGTGGAGCACGTTTGCACGCTTTTTCAAAGCTGTTGAAAAATCCTACCCGATGGTCCAAACACCAAACCATTTCTTCTATACACAAGGGGGTACGTAGGGCTATCGACCTAAGCCATGACATCTCGCCACTTCCTAAGCCGATTGCTCTATAAAAATTGCCAAACATGGCTTCGTCGACCCAATTACAGACTTGACGCGAAATGACTTAAACTCCGAACGGTTTCGCGTCGAATTCCAATTCTGACCTACTTGATATACTAGCTAGCGAACCTCGTCCTCGATCGTACGCATTTCATCGTCGCCTACGAAGTTCGTAATACAAACTTTATCAAGGTTCGCATAAACATTCTATAGTATTTTTGTTCGATAAAAATTCGCTTAGAATACTAAACAATATTGAGTGACATGAAGCGCACATTTGTTTCTTGTTTCGGATGAACGTTTCTAGTGTCGTACATGGATTTATACTTTACGTTACACACACTTACACATAAGTATGATGCTCATGCAGTGTTTTAGCAAAAACTGTACAACGTAACACCGAGGGTGTTACAATGCACATCCATTTTTATTTGGACACAAGTAACTAACCTAGCAAACAAAATGCAAAACAATTCTAACAAAGGTATGCAACATTGTGCCAGTTTAGGTTTCAAGCAAGATAACATAACACCCGCACGCCTTATCTTCTTCCTTCCAGCTCGCGACTCGTCATGTAGGCATAACAGACAACTTCTTCTCCAAATAGCCTCCTTACATCTCCCACCATATCCGGGTCCATAAAATTGCGTGATCCAATCTCGACCCCTCCGAATCTCCGAACGCAAGCCGCCCCTTCCCTACTTGATATACCACCTCCCACCGCCTTCATATCGCCCCTCGCCAAACTTTATCAAGGTTCGATAAACTCTATAGTGATAAAAAATTAGCTTAGAATACTCAATGGCGCCACCTTCTTCCCCGCTTCTAGCCGCCCTCCTTTACGCTACCTCCACATGTATGATGCCATGGCGAGCAAAATCGAGCTCCGGCCGAGCTCAATGCACATCCATTTTTATCCGCCCGAAGGCATGGCGCCATAACCCGCCTTCCATTTCGCGACTGTCACCGACTCAAAGACTTCTTCCCCCCGCCCCAGCTCGGCGATCCAATCTCGACCTCCCTCCGCCACCGCCCACCGACCTTCCCCACCGCTCGTGCCCTAGCTTGCCTCCTTCCCCTTCCTCTCGGCCGCCATTCTATACCCGCTAGAGTTGGAGAAGAAGAGGCGCGGCGTCGGAGCTCGCCGGGACCCTAGCTGTCGCCGGAGTTGGAGAAGGCGTGGGCAACGGAGGAGCAGCAGTGAGCGGGAGCAGGCGAGGGAGAAGCAGCAGCTCCGACGGCGCAGGCGTGGCCTCCAGCGACGACGACGGGCGTGGGCGTGGACGCGCGCATCGGACGGCCACGCGGGTGTGGAGGCTCGAGCGCGATGCATCGGACGGCCACTCAGATGTGCGTGCCGAGCGTCGCGAGCATGCGCGCTCGGAAAGAATCATTTCCCTTTTTTTTTACTTGTGGTCTCCGTCGTGTCAGCAATCACAATCGTGTACGTATTTTCCATTTCTCCTTTTATTTTTACATTTCCGTGTCGAGCGATTTGATGATGGAGCCATCCATATCCACATATTTCCTAAAATGTAGTCGAATCATTCTCAGTTTCAAATCCAAATATCCAATAGGTAACAAATATTACTGGCTGACGTGGCAGCCGCTAAGTGTGTGCCTCTTGCTGACCTGGCCCCGCGAGCAAAACCATCAAAAGAAACGTCGTTGTCTCGCCTACACACTCTGCTAGTGCCAGTGCTAGTCCTAGTCCTTCTTGTACCATGCACCAACAATATCCACATCCTGTGGCTGCTGTTTCTTTCCAATTCCAATTTATTCGTGGTGATTAGCTAGCTCACAAGTCACAAGTCACAAAGCACAACAACACTGCTACGACGCACGGGCTGGTGGACAAGATGCGCTTCAAAAAGAAGAAAGAGGAGACTGGGTTATTTAGCTAATCCAAGTCCAAGAATTTAAAATTTGTGAAAAACAAGTTGGTGGATACATATATCCAATTTGCATAAAACTTGAACCGGAATATGGTTTATTTGGTACTCTACATGATTAAGACCGCGTTTGGTGTGGCTCTTGGTGCTCCGGCTCCTACTCCTAAGATACCATGCAACACTATTTTTACTATAGCATGATAAAAAACGGCTTCGACTCCTTAAAAAATAAACTAGAAAGAAGAGGAGCCGGAGGAGCAGCATATTTGGAGCTTCTCCCGGCTCCGCCACAGTAGTGCTACAGAGCCGGGAGAAGCCCCTCCAAACGGCCTCTAAAACTTTGGCCGAGGTTGTCAACCGAGCTGCCCTGTTGCTACCGAGGAGAAGGCTTGTATGTCATGTGTCCAAAGCGAACCGAACCATTGGTTGGACTGGACAAAGTGAAATAGAAGGGAAAGCGGTTGACAAGAAAGAAGGAATGGTTCTCCTGATGGACTAGACGACTAAAAAGTTTTGGAAGCTTGCTTTCCTTTCCCTTGTTTTTCATAAGATACTACTCCCCCAAATTATAAATCGCTTTGACTTTTTTTTTGGTTCATCCATGTATCTAGACGTATTGTTATATTTAGATGCATAGCAAAATTGATGTATAAAAAAAAATCAAAATGACTTATAATTTAGAACGGAGGGAGTACTAGTTTTAATTTTGCCATCGACCGCCATCCTTGTGGCGGCGTCTCTCGTGGCGCAAAATCCCTTCGTCATAGAATGAGGCAGTGGTGGTGTCATGGAGAGCAGAGTTGTAATTGGGCAAAAGGTGATCTTTGTCGCACAACTGGAAAATATTATGAAAACTTGTTTTTAGGGATAATTAAAACAAAAGCGGAGAGAGTTGAACGTACTTAACCAAAAGGTGAAGCATTATGAAGGAAACCAACCCAAGCAAACCTCTGCCATACCATTCCCTTCATACATGGCTGGTCTGGCTTGATTCCCCTTTCTCTCCTGCTCACCATTCTTGAGGCGATGAGGCTGTTTCGCACAAGTAGAGTTGCCCAGTCAGAGCCCGTTTGCCTTTCCAGGCAAACCGTCCGCAGATACAATGGCGCCATAAAAATAAACTTGTTTAAATTTCCTTTTTATCTAAATTTTATAGAGATGGCACAGAGGATCGTATTATCGGATTCATGGCTAAAAAAGCAGTTGCTTCATATGGGTATTTAAATGTACATGTCCTGATGAAATTCCATTTCGCTTCGGATCATATTTTTTTGGATCGGAGGGAGGACGACTCGAGTGGACTAGCGGTCTTGTTGTCACACGCTGGGTGGGGCCAGGCAGCAGGGGCAGAGAGGCCCCCCCCCCTCGCCTCTGTTACCTCCAGCTACGCTACCCGAGTTACAGGTAATCCCTGTAACTGACATATGGGGTCTACCATACTCCCGGACCCATCGGTCATTGACGTCCACGCTAGCCTGGGAAGTGGGGACGCGAGTGTGGGGGCTCGTGGTCCCCACCGCTCCCCCATGTGCTGTCTCCACCCACCGGGCGGCTTGGCCCTCAATCATTGGCCCCGCCCTCCACCGGCTCCATTCCTCTCTTCCTGCTCTGCTCTGCTCTGCTCTGCTCCGCCAGTCGGCAGCCACCAGTCCGGCCAGCCTCCGTCCGTCCGTCCGTCCGTGCCACCCTCCTCATGACGACGAGGCCAGACGGCAGCGGCAGCGCCGCGCCCGCGGACAAGCAGCTCGTGCCGGCCTCCAACGGAAACGGCAACTCCGGCGCGCTGGCCGTGCGCAAGGCGCCGTCCAAGGACCGCCACAGCAAGGTGGACGGGCGTGGCCGGCGCATCCGCATGCCCATCATCTGCGCCGCCCGCGTGTTCCAGCTCACGCGGGAGCTCGGCCACAAGTCCGACGGCCAGACCATCGAGTGGCTGCTCCGCCAGGCCGAGCCCTCCATCATCGCCGCCACCGGCACCGGCACCACGCCGGCGTCCTTCTCCACCTCATCCCCGTCCTCGCTCCGCTCATCGTCCTCCACCAGCCCCCACCCGCTGGCCGCCTCCGCCGCCGCGCCCTTCATCCTCGGCAAGCGCGTCCGCGGGGACGGCGCCGACGCTGAGCCCACCGTCGCCGCCCCGGCACCGGGTTTCTGGGCGCTGCCGGCGCGGGCCGACTTCGGCCAGCTCTGGAGCTTCGCGGCCGCGCCAGAGATGATGGTGGCCGCGGCCGCTGCCGCGCCGGCCATGGCCGGGGAGGCGTCCGCCGCCAGGGTCGGCAACTACCTCCCCGTCGCGCAGGGCAACCTCAACCTGCTCGCCTCCTTCTCCGGTGGGCCCGCTCCCACGGCGGCTGCCACCACCGCCGGCCGGGCCGAGGAGGAGACCGCACGCTGAGCGGCTGAGGGTCCTTGTCAATTCCTCGTCATCTCACTCCTCCCCGGTTCCCACGTCCCGTCCGCCGCCGCTAGGGTTTTAGGGCGGCCTGGCCTACTCTTCCCCTTTCACTAGGGTTTCCAATTCCGACTTCTCCGGTTTGCTTGGCTTGGCTGCCCAGCTCCATTCCGCGTGTCTTGTCTCTCTGTCAGTCAGTCTTTTGTGTGTGCGTGCTCAATTCGGCATAGATTGATAGATAGTGTCACTCTCACTCAACTCTCAGTCGCAGCCATGTCGCCTTCCTTTCCTTTTCCTTTCTTCTAGTGTTGTGTTGGCCACCCGAATTGGGTGGCCTTCAAGTAAGCAATCAAGCAAAGCAGCTGCAACAGATTATCATCACTCATCACCCGCTCAATTTCACTGCATCAAGGAAAGAAAGGAAATGCAAGGCTTGCTCTGCTATGCTCTGTTGTTCCCATTTGGCGGCGGCATTGGACATCCAGCCGCTTGCTTGCTTGTCACTAGCCACTACTGGGTCTCTTGTGTCACTCCACCCCTGCTTGCATTGCAGCATCCACAGTAGCAAAGCTCCTGAAGGATCATGGCGGGTTTGCTGTTGGGGACTGTCACAACTCAGAACAGGAATGTGGTTTATCCTTCCTTTATTTCCTTGTGAGCTGTTTCTTGACAATAAGCAGCAGGTCCAGTCCAGTGCTCTCCTTGTTGCACAAAACAAAGAGGAGTCGGTACCAAATCGTCGTTCATTACTGCAGCTGCATCAGCTCTCCCATCCTATGATTGTGTTGTGCCTGTCAGTCTCGGAGGGAAGACAGACTGAGGCTGGCCCTGCCTGCTAAGTTGTCCACATGTATGTTCCTCCTCTCCCTTTCTCTGCTGTGCTGCGTCTGCTTGCTGTCATTTACTTAGCAGTTAAGTTGATTTCCTTTTGAGCTCTTATCTGGATTGGATTAGTGCTTGAGAATAATATAAGTACTACTGGTAGTCTAAGTACTTATTTATTAGTCATCAGCTGTTGGCAGTAGCTCAGTTCAGGTCCTGTCCTGTATGTATGTATGAGTGTACGCCATGTATGTATCCACGTCGTATGGATTGTTTGATGATGTGTTTCTTTATTGATCAATTAATGGACAAAAAATAAGAATGGGAAAAATAAGGTTTGTTCCATTCAATTCATCATCCTGTTTCTTGCCATGGCGTATTGTTGTTGGTTGCTGTGTCTCTGTCTTGTTACCACTGTAGGTACCACCAGTATCGTGTACTCCTAGGCAGTTTTTTCCTTTGTACGCAGTGTCAATCGGACAATCATGGTTGCAAAATTGGGGCACGTAGTAGCTTGCCCTTGCCTGTTTTAAGGAGGAGGGAGGGAGGACACTGGTGGATGGGAATTGTCAGGTACTACGCATTGGGGCACTGCAGCTGCAAATCCTGGTGCGTCTGTAGTAGTAATGCTGGAATTCTCTTTCTGTGTTGGATATTCCAATAGTAATCATGCATCCTGCTCGTCCGTCTCCTCTGGGAGACTGGGTGTGTGCTACTGTGTGTACTGTGGTGGTGGCAAACCAGCTTTTGATAAGGAATCGCGGCTGTTTCCTTGCGTGGCTTTGGTTGGTGTCACCGCCTTTAATTAACTATAATGACAATCATTCATGTGTTGATTCTGTCTAGTGTGGTGTTTGAGTGGGGGATCATCTCTCTCACTAGTCACTAGCCTCCGTCCTGTCTACTTATTATTTCCCTTTTGGCCTTTTGCACCTCCTTTTTCTTAAGCAAATCTGGTTGCCTGGACTTTTGGATAAGATCTGAAAACAAAAGATAACTGAGTCGACGATGGTCAGCTCTCCCTCCCTCCATGTCGTCGTCGGCCCTGATCGGATGATGGTTTCTACGCTGCTGATGATGCTGATTTGTTGTTCTATCGCTGAAAAGTAGTTGTCTCAAACGAACAGGGCCGTCGTCTTTACCCCCTACCCTAGTAGAGCCTAGGCCTACATACGACCGCCAGGCCATGTGCTCTTCCTGCTCCTGCTACTATGGCATACTCATTTGTCAATTGCAAACTTCTGCTTCGTCTTTCTAATCCAGTTCACTAGTACACTCGTACTACTACTAAGTACTAACATGTTGTCCTGTCTTGAAAAAGTGAGCTTGCAATGTTCTGTCCGGGCTATATTTCACCGGCATGTTCGAAGCCATATCGTATCGGATTATTTATTGTTGGTTGGTTTGGTGTGAGAGAAAAACACTATTCTCGGCTGGAAATTTACGATTATTTACGAGCAAGCGAACATGCTAGTCCCATGTTGTCCTCTCTCCCATGTTTTTTTTTTCTTCGGAGTTAGTAAAGTCATTGATGAACAAGTGTGCGAATCATGTGTACTGTCACGAGCTTCACTCTTTTTGGGTTTGGGTGGAGTAGAAAGTAATACGACTGGTAATTAAGCAGCCTTTTTGTTTATGTGTCAATGCAAAAGGGAGGGAAAAAAGGAGATACAAGTACGTCTGCATACTCCTACAGTCCTACATACTCCGTATACAATTATACATAATAAAGGCTGTGACTGACGTGATGGATCCTGCTTAAGGTCTGGACGAAAAACTCGAAGCTCGTTAGCTCGCTGGGCTCGTGGCTGGGTCGGCTCGGTTCGTTAAGATAACGAGCCAAGCCGAGCCAAGATTTTAGCTCGTTAGCTATAATGAGCTAGCTCGTGAGCCGCTCGTGAGCCACAGGAGCCACACTTTTAGGGAAAAAAGCAGCAAAACTTGTATTAGTTTTTGTATTACTATGTTTTGTACTTTACAATTGATTGATGACCGGTCTAGACCTTATAAACTTGCGATTATTATGACTTTATCGTTTTATTTTTAATGGATGTACATGGACACATTATGTATGGTATGGAGTATGGACCATGAATGTATGGTGTAATACTATAGTATATTATCATATTTGTATATATGTTAGTACATATTAATTTTTTGTTCGATTTAATGCTATTGGATGTGTTATTTTTGTATTATTACTATTCTCAAGCTTTAGATAAATGCAAATATTATATTTTATGTATTTTTTTATATCTGGCTCGTGAGCTTAACGAGCCAGCTCGAGCTCTTAATGAGCCGAGCCGAGCCAGCTCGGCTCATTATCCAGCCCTAATCCTGCTTCAGTGCTTTGCAAATTATCGCATCCCCCAAGATTCTCATTCTCTCAACCTTCGTGACATGAATAAGCATATTGCAAATTGAATCGTTAGGGAGAGAGAGAGAGAGGCTTGTTCGCTTTCATTTGACCCCTACCATGTTTGAGGCAACCGGTAGAACGTATAATGAACGAGCTGTGTTATATATAAAGACTTTTTTGGGAGAAAAAATAAGGATGGTGTCGATGCGGGACCCACAGGGTTCCTCAGCGATATGACTACAAGGCGTGGGCCCTGGCCTGGCCCACAAACCCAGCAGGAAGAGGTGTAGTAACAGCTGACGCCGAATCCAAGTAGAATAGGCTAGACTAGCCGAACTCCTATAGGAAAGTACCTTCTGTAACTGATTAAGGACACCTTCTTTGGATCCGACTAGGATTGTAACCGCACCTCAGCCTTCTCTACCGATATAAAGAGAGGCTGAGGGCACCCCTGTAACAAATCTTGATACACAACCAATCCAACACAAAGGCTAACGCCGACTGGACGTAAAGGCTATTACTCGATCACGAGGGCCCGAACCAGTATAAATCATGTGTCTCTTGCGTTCACCGTTGAGTTCCGCATACGCCGAAACCCGAACGAACGACTGTCCCGGGTACCCCCGTGGCAAGCTATCGGTGGTAAAACATCGATAGCTGGCGCGCCAGGTAGGGGCTTTCGGCGGATTACATCCGAGAGCTTGACGGACCTCGACAACAAGATCTTCTGGACAGGATCAATTTTCATCTTCGGATCATAGATCTGCGAGGCAGATGACGATAGCAAGCTCCAGGGACGCATCCTCAAGGATCAAGAAAACCACGAAGACCCCACTCTTTCGGTGACTTCGACAGAAGAACTCACCAGAAAGTTCTCACAGCTCACGATGTCTGATCCAACTCAGATTTCGCGATCAACCAACTTCGACTCTGACTCAGGGTCCACCTCCAAGCCAGAATCGCAGTCGGTTTCTCCCTGCGGCGGTCCGAGTTCTTTTCCACTAGGACTCCGCAACGCAGCTTCGATACATCAAGGAGTCAACTTAGCTTGCCTATAGAGTTCTTCCAGGCAACCGAGTTCCTTCCCCTTCGGACTGCACAGCATGGCGGCATCTTATCAAGCACTACTCCAAGGATCAGCCAGTCCAGTACAGAGGGTACCTCTGACAGAAGGGCCTCGTACTGACTATAACATCCCAAGATTACTTCGTCCACTAGTCGGGTTCTATCTCCGAAGGTGAGGACACCCAACTAGTTGACACAGCAGCAGTTCTACCTTACCAAGAAGGAAGTATGCTCTGCGACACCGATGCCTCCACAGAGATCATCAACGACTCTGTAGCATGGTCACAAACGGAGGAGCAGCACGCACACGCGAGAAGTATTAATGATTCACCGACCGCCATTGGTCCCTCCAAAAGCACCCGACGTCAGGTCCTCGGATGAGTCAGAATTCAACATATCACCCAACGCTCAGGAGTACGACGGCGAGACTAAAAGCCAGAAACAAGTCAGGGAAAGGAGGAATAAACTGAAGCAAGGGCACAGACACCGGGCCCAGCAGCGCAAAGAAGCTTGGGTTAAGTATGAATCGATCCGCCGAGTATAATAGGAAGAAATCAGAACAAGAGGCCAAAGAAAGATGGATCGCCAGGAGGGCACACAATTCTCCGTATGACAAGATCCGAGAAGTAGTTGAAGAACTCGAAGCTATTTCACATCCCAATGAAGAACAAGAACGTCTCTCGAGAAGTTCTCCGGTCAACAGCCTTGAGAGTACAAGGTAGAAGGACCAGCTCGAGACAACTCGCCCGATCAGAAT